TGGGTCTTACCTTGAGGGAGCTGGCCCTGTCCTGGCTGCTGCGGGCGGGGGAGGCCGGCGTGCACCGCGACAGGGTGTGGTAGCTCGGATTCGAGTAGTAGTGGGTGTAGCTGGGTGGGACGTCTGGCGGGACGGACAGACAGACAGACAGAGTGAGGCCAAAATCTCTGGGAGCCCCGACCGATATCGGTCTAGCTGTCCCCAGTGGCTGCATGGTGCCGTGCGTCTCTCCCCCACCCCGTGCCAGGCTCCGACCGGATTTCCCATGCTAAGCCTAGTGCGATGGGGTGAGAGACCATGGGGGTCTCCGAGATGTGGCAGAGATGGCGGGACGGACAGACAGACAGACAGAGTGAGGCCAAAATCTCTGGGAGCCCCGACCGATATCGGTCTAGCTGTCCCCAGTGGCTGCATGGTGCCGTGCGTCTCTCCCCCACCCCGTGCCAGGCTCCGACCGGATTTCCCATGCTAAGCCTAGTGCGATGGGGTGAGAGACCATGGGGGTCTCCGAGATGTGGCAGAGAGCAGGGGTGAGTTTGCCATGCCCTCACCTGGCACCGCGTACTCCGAGCTGTCCGTCCGCCCCGAGGTGTAGGCCACAGCCAGGTGACGGTTCTCTTTGCCTTTCTGCCAATGCCGGTAGCCCACGAAAAGTACCAGCAGCACGACAAGCAGGATCACCAGGACGATGACGCCAATGATGGCCCCCAGGGAGCTGTACCCCATCGGCATGGCTGGCACCATGGTGAAAGGGTGCTCGGCGTTCCCTGCATGCCGAGAGGAGAGAAGGAATCAGATCTCCTGCCCAGGGGTCCTGGCTTCAAGCCCACCCACCCTACTCTAACCACTAGACACCACTCCCCACCTGGAGTGGTGCCCCTAGAGACAGGTCCCTAGAGTCCTGGCTCCTAGCACTTCCCTGCCTGTTACAACCCAGCAGGTCCCAGCCCTTCCTGGAGCTGGGGACAGAACCGAGGGGTCCTGGCTCCAAGCCCACCCACCCTGCTCTAACCACTAGACCCCACTCCCCCTCTGGAGCTGGGGATAGATCCCAGGAGTCCTGGCTCCTAGTTCACTCAGCCACCCTGCTGTAACAACTGGACCCCAGTCTCGTTCTAGAGCCGGGGACAGAACCCACGCGTGCTGGCCCCCAGCCCCTTACACACTCACTCACATGTCTCACACCGGGCCCCGCTCCTGCCTGGCTCGCACTGGCAGCGTCCCGTCGTGTGGTGGCAGGTGGCATTGTGGAGGCACTCGCAGACCTGCAGGCAACTGGGTCCAAAGGTGCCAGTGGGACACTCTGCCATGGGCACAAAAGGGCCAGGGTTAGCCTCCGTGGGGCGAAGGGGGCTGGGAGGAATGGGCCGTCCCACAGGATGGTTCCGGGAGAGGAAGAGAAAGGCCGGTCCCGAGGAGCACGAGGCTGGCATGGCACAAGACCTCAACGGGTGGCCCTCCAGTGCAGTGCCCCGCCTCCCTCAATGGCAGACCAGGCTGAGCAGGGTGTAAGCCCACCTCCTGCAGGGCCAGATCATGGTCCATATTGCTGCATATGCCCCCTCTGGATCTTCGGGAGCAGACCAGTGGCCCATACAGCCCTAGAGTTGCCAGATACTTTCACACAAAAAATCCCGACACATGGCAGGGAAAAAAATTGGTTGAGCAACAAAAAAACCAAAAACCCAGGGGACCAAAGTTAAGCAAAAAAAAAAAAAAAAAAAAGTCACTGTGCCTTTAAACCAGACACCTGGCAACCCTATACAGCCCTGGACCCCACCTCCAGCTCTCCTGCAGGAGCCTTATGGTCCATACAGCTCAACGTCCCACCTCCTGCCTATTGGAGGAAATCACTGGTCCGTATAACCTGGGATGTAAAATCCTGTGTAATCAGTTAACCGGTTAAACAATATGTGGGATCCCGCAGTCAGGGCTGGTAGCTCCTGGTCCTGTGGAGCTGTTGGCTCTCAACCCCATGGGGCTCATGGCTCTTGGCCCCATGAGGCTCATGGCCCCTTGGGGCTTCTAACTCCTGACCCCAGTGGGGCTTCTTGCTCCTAGTCCCATGGGGCTCCCAGGTCCTGGTCCCATTGGGTTGCCGGTTAACCAGGTACCAGTAGGATCACCCCATAAGGGTGATGCTTACCTGGTAACAGGCTAACCGGTTACCCATTCACATCCCTAGTCTAAGCCAATATTAGAGGTGTTTGGGAAATGATATTTGTTCCAGCAACATGTCTGGATGAACCACACACAAATGAAACATCCGTGTCACATTTTTTCTTCCAAGTTTCTGGGTTTTCAATCCATGCAAAATCTGGAAACTCCCAACCCAAAACATTGTGGCTGAAAAATGATTTTATTTTATTTTATTTTGAATTTCAATGATCAGAAACAAAGTGAAAACAGACAGGTGTTTGGCCAATATTTTAGGGGCATTTCAGTGGCCAACACCCAGTTTTTTCCTAATTTCTGTTTTTCCAATGAACTGCCCCCCTCCTCCCCAATTAACTCAAATTGGACATTCCCCAGGAAAATTTACGTATTAACCCAAATCCCTGGGTTTTGTCACACATGTCTCAATCCTCTTCCCTCAAGACCTGCCCAGAAGTCCTGTGGGGGGGTGTAATGCCCCCCTCTGCCACCAGTGGGCGCTGCAAGTGGTGCACCAATGGGCCGTGGGGCCGTGATGTAGCCCTTTGCATTCCCCATGGTATTTCACTGGCTTGGCAGCTTACTGGCTTCACAGTGGGCGCTGGTGTACCCGGGAGGGCACAGACATCTGCCGCTAGCCGGGTCACACTGAGCTTCGTTCTGGCACCGGCAGGTCTGGGCACAGTTCTCCCCGTAGCTCCCCATGGGGCAACCTACAAAGAAACCAAGCGGGTGAGGTCTGCATGGGGTACATGTGACACCCGGGCCCCCTCCCAGCACAGCCCTTACCTTCCAAGCAGTCTCTGCCGGTAAAGCCAGCTGGGCAGGAGCAGGTGCCATCCACGGTGCTGCACCGGCCTCCGTTTGAGTCCCCATGTGCCAGGTGGGCAGGCTGCAGAGGAGAGGAGGCGTCTGTCAGTCCCATTGTGCACCCGGCTCTGGAAGCTGGTCTTCCCAGATCTCCTCCCAGATGAACTACTATTTGTGTGAGAGCCCATCGCCCCCTGCTGGTGGCCCACAGGGTAAGAGTCCTACTACTGCTACCAGCACATTTCCTTTAGCTCAAGTGGCAGAAACCTGCATTAGGGGGGCTGGCGGAGCTTGCAGGTCCCCCAGATAATAGTCCCGGGGACCCTGTTGTGCCCGTATTTCTACTAATCCCCTACAACTTATTCCCCATTGACCTGTACTGCCCGTGAGCTGGGACGCTCCCTGGCAGAGGAGGGGACTCACGCTGAGAGCAGTCGCTGCCCGTCCACCCGGGGAAGCAGTCGCAGGAGCCGTTCACGTGGTGGCAGGTGGAGTGGTTGGCGCATCGGCAGGACATTGCGCATTTCTTGCCGTAGCGCCCGGGCTGGCAGGCTGTGGCAAAGAGAAGAAATGGAAGGATGGGGTGAGGGTGGGGGATTAGGGTCGTATTATCCCTAAGTTGGCCCCGGCTGCTTAGGTGACATGAGTTTGCTGGGCCTCAGCCCAGCTCCTGGTGGGAAGGAGGCAAAGCCATCACCAGAATCGGCCCTGTTCATGGGCTGTCCAAACAGGGCAGTGGAGACAGCATTCACAGGTCATGGGGCACACAGGCTGGGGCGTTCCCATGTGGCTGTCTCGTTCCTCCAGGGGAGCAGAGATGCGGGGTTGGGCCTCACATGCATCCATCTCCCAAGCCCTCGGCAGCTGCACTGGGCACCTAAAACGTCCATGCAGAGGCCTCTGCCGCCACCCCGCCTGCTGCACCCAAATCAGCCCTGGGAGAGACGGATGCTGGTGCCAGCTCACAGGCCAGTCACACCTGAGCCACAGGCTCTGGTTGGCTCTGGCGCAGCGGGAGGCTGGCTCGCAGCCCAGCCAGTGTAATCGGTCATGGTGGGAAGCAGCAGGACCCCCCTCGCCCTCCCCCCAGCCGGCTCCGGGCAGCATCCTCGGTGCTTACGGCGCTGGCAGGCCGGGCCCCGGGCCCCGGGCGCGCAGCTGCAGCTCCCGTCCTCCGGGGAACAGGTGGCTCCGTTCTTGCAGGCGCAGGGCTGGCTGCAGCGCTGCCCCCAGGAGCCATCCGCACAGACCAGGTTGCAGCGGGACCCTGGGGAGGGGCCAAGACAAGAAACACGGTGCTGTCACGGAGTGCGGAGGAGTCACCCGGCACTGCACCCCCACTCACAGCCAGACGGGGCCCTAAGCCAGCAAGTAGAATGGAAGGGTTATTCATTGACAGGGACACAGCGTAGCACAGACTGGTTGTGACAGGAGCCAGGAGCATTCGGGACAATCCATCTTATGAGTAGGGGGGCCCAGAGCCAGGACTCTATGCCCCTGCCCTGCCCCCCAAGACAGCTATACTCCCTTCTCCCTAAGCCAGCTGAAAACGAAACTCACACTCCCAGCAACTGGTCCCATCTGTCTAGGCAGCCCCACCCCGTCTTTTGTTCAGATTCCTGGGCAAGGTGTTATCTCAGTGTTTCTCAACCTTTCTTTTTTTTTAATAAAGTACCCCTTTTTCAAAAATAATATATATATATATAAAGAGACTTGCACTAGCAACGTCTCTGTGTCTCTTCAGCAACAGCTCACGAGTCCTACCCCCGTTGCTAACTTAGCATTTGACGCAGAGACCCTTGAACTCAACAGGCTTCCTGCCTTTGGATCAGGCTCATAAGGCTGGCATGACTCTCTAGTGCAGGGAGGTTTCTTTGGCTCTGAGATGGGAGCTGGAGAGACTCCCCACTTCAGGCGGTTCATGTCTGCAGGACGAGGCGGGGCTCCCTTAGGCAAACTAAGGTGGGCTCCCTCTGTGGAGAGCTGATTGGGACTGTGTGTTATGAAGCAGGTTTAAACGAATAAAAGAAAGTTCTTCTTCACACAGTGTGTAGTCAACCTGTGGAACTCCTTGCCAGAGGAGGCTGTGAAGGCTAGGACTATGATAGAGTTTAAAGAGAAGCTAGATAATTTCATGGAGGTTAGGTCCATAAAAGGCTATTAGCCAGGGGATAAAATGGTGTCCTTGGCCTCTGTTTGTCAGAGGCTGGAGAGAGATGGCAGGAGACAAATCGCTTGATCATTGTCTTCGGTCCACCCTCTCTGGGGCACCTGGTGCTGGCCACTGTCGGCAGACAGGATACTGGGCTAGAAGGACCTTTGGTCTGACCCAGTATGGCCATTCTTATGTTCTTATGATATAAATAAAAGCAGGAGGAATAACGGTAGTTCGAATTAGGAGCTTTAATTTGAACTACCTAGTCTGTGCTGCGTGTAGCCGCAGGCAGGTAGTTCGAACTACGGGGCATTTAAAAATGGCAGCGCCCGGGAACATGCAAATGAAGCCTGGGATATTTAAATCCCGGGCTTCATTTGCAAGTTCGAATGCCTACATTGAGGTGTAGACATACCCCAAGAGTGAATACAGTCCCCGCTACATCACAGGTGCTCTGTCAGTGAGGACCCCTCCTCCCCACATGGGGGGTGGGCCCTAGTGTCCCAGCGATGACCAGTGCTCTCTCTAATCATTTCTATCCAGGTGTGGAATAATTGTATGTGCACCGAGATATGTGAGAATGTGCATCACACACAGAAACAAAAAACTAGCTGTGGGTGCTCTGCTAATCAGCAGGGTGGCACTGGACTCTCTCCTGAGCAGCCGTACAAGTGCCCAGCTTACAGGAAACACTAGCGCGACCCAGTCCCCCCCTCCACAGAGGAATAAAACCTCTCACACCCCAGGCTGTCAGGGATGCCTGTGTCACTGTTCATACTTTACAGAGAGGGAAACTGAGTCACTATACGACTCTCTGCAGACCCTATGGTCTCCCAGCCCAGAGCTCCGCTCCCACCAATCAGACTCCAGAAGCATCTCTTCCCTGCCGCGTTAACGCCAGCGCAGTTCACAATTCAAGTTCTGTCCATACACGAGAGCTCCAGTTTGGGGGGCTGGCTGGCTCGCCAGCAGGCACGGCTTGAGGGCTGCTACTGCCCCAAGTCCTGGTGTAATTCTCTCTGGGCCTCACGTTCCTGCCATCTGGCTGGGGGGATCCTGCAGGGATGAGGTTTGGGGAAGGTGTGAACTGCCCTCCTTTGAGTCATGGCAGATGTCGGCGGGAGGTCTTTTCAAGGTCAAGGCCGCTTGCTAAGAATGGAGTGGGAAGGCCTCGGGTTGGCATTGGTCCATCTCACTTCGGTGCCATGCACAGGTGCCTTGGGGCGAGCCCCATTACTTTATTTTGCTTCACTTAGGAAAATCCAGTGGGTGGAGCTTGTGTTGTGGGTGGAGCCTGGAGAGTACCGCCCCTTTGTTCCCTGACCCAGCCACGCCCACGAAAGTCATGCATTATCCTGGCAGAGAGGTGCCCAGAGATGCTCTGGGTGCCATAGGAACCGATTAGGAGCTGGCCATGTGGACGGAATCTGCCCCCGCCCCCCCCCCCCAGCCGTCCGCGTGGCTGCACTCACACTGACCGCTGCAGCCAGGGCCGTAGGCACCGCTCTGTTAGCGAGAGGAGAATGCAACTGGAATAACGGTGTGTGTGTGTGTGTGTGTGTGTGTGTGTGTGAGAGAGAGAGAGAGAGAGAGAGAGAGAGAGAGATTTTAAGTGTGTGTGTGTGTGTGTGTGTGTGTGTGTGTGATTTTAACCAGAACAACCTCCCTGGTCCCATCCCGTTGGTGCACGGATCTAACCCCAGCCCAAGCCTCCTCCGCCGAACCCACACCCTCACCCTCTCAGTGCTTAGGGTCTGACCTATCCCCTCTCTGCCCTACCAGTGCACACCATCTAATCCACGCCTCCCCTGCTTCCCAAAGGGACATGGTCTAATCCAGGCGTGGGGAAACTTTTTAGGGTTGGGGGCCACTGACCCACAGGAAAATCAGTCGGGGACCACACAAAAGTGGGACGCAACCCCCTCTTTTTGCCCCCCCTACCAAAAACCAAAACCACCTCACTGACCGGCCCCCAACACAGAAGCAGAAAGACCTGCCCCACAATCTCCTCGCACACCAGAGCCTGGGAGGCTAGTAGATTTTGTGGGCCCCCCTAGACTCTGGGTAGGGCCAAAAATGAGGGTTCAGTGTGTGGGAGGGGGCTGTCGGGAAACAGGCTTGCGGTGTGGGCAGGAGTGGGGCTGCAGGAACGGCCTAGGGATAGGGGGTGTGGGCGGGAGGTATAGAGCTGGTGCTCCAGCCCCGTGGAAGAGGCCACAGGGCTGAGTGCCAGCGCCAGCTCCCTGCACCTCGGGGGTCAGATCCAGCAAACCAGGGCCAGATTTGGTCTAATTTCCCCACTTCCGGTCTGATCCGTAACCCCCAGTGCGTGACTTCCCCAGTCAGTCGGTTAGCCCGGGAGGCGAATGATTGCCGTTCTTTATCCACAGACGGCCGAGATCCCAGGGTGGCGTGGGAACTTACCGCGCAGGGCTCCTGGCACCGGCTGGCATGCCAGCCAGCCCGGCAGGAG